ACAGAGTCTCACTCTGTTGCCCAGGCTAGAGTGCTGTGGTGTCAGCGTAGCTCACAGCAACCTCAGACTCCTGGCTCAACCAATCCTCCTGCCTCAGCCTCCCAAGTAGCTGGGACTACAGGCATGTGCATCCACGCCTGGCTAATTTTTTTCTGTTTTTAGTAGAGATGGGGTCTCACTCTTGCTCAGGCTCTTCTGGAACTCCTGACCTCAAGCGATCCTCCTGCCCTGGCCTCCCAGAGTGCTAGGAATGCAGGCATGAGCCACCACCACACCAGCTAACAATCAATTCTTTGAAAAGGCTATTGTGCTCAGAATGCTTGCCAAAGAAGATATTTTCCCCAAAGCTCCCAAACCAATTGCACAGAACCTGCTCGCCTAGACTTTTCCTTTTTCTATGTATAGGTATGCTAAGAAAATTGTCAGTGGTTTGAGCCTCTGGTTTTACATAAATAAGACACCACTTCTCATTTTTTCTCCCCAAGAAAGTGCTACAAAAACTTTACACTTCACTCAATGAAAGGTTTTTGTTTTTAACTTTAAATTTCTTTTTAAAAATAAAACAAATACTGCCTTCCAGTACTTTTTAAAAAAAAAACAAAACAAAAGGAGGCTTATGAAAAAGGGGGTATGGGTAATTCTTTACCTGCTTTGTAGGCAATATAGGAATGAACAATTGCTAAAGTTCCAGGCCATGGAATTGCTTCTTCCTTCTTCAGCATCTGAAAAGATTTTTAGAATTTTACCTTGAGAAGGAGGTTTAAACACACATCCTGTATCTAACAGCAAGCAACGGTGTCTGTGGCTACTGGCAGACAAAATCCAGGAAGGATTTATGGTAGCAGTGGTCTATAGTTTCTAGACTAACCAGTTCTAAATAGCAGCCTAGGAAAATGAAGTTCAAAGGCAGAAAGAGCCAGGACACTTGAGCCCAGACTTCGAAGGAGGCTGGGACCTGACTGAGCATCCCCGCCTTTCACACACGCAACGCCCAACTACTCGCGACACCCAGAACCACCAACACAGAAGCTGCACATCGGCACGATGGCAGCAGCCACTGGCAGTCTTGTCCTTGACCTCATATGAGCTGCCTGTCTCAATTTTAGCTTATGTGTCTCTCAGAGACAGCTTGTCCAAGGAAATTAAATATCAGTTCCAAATACTAAAGTATAATCTAGACCCTGTGTAGAAAATTATCAGAGGGTCACAAAATGGCATCAGGAAGAGGACAGAGTGAGAACTGCCTATTGTACCACAGAGACTGCAGCACAAGGGCCAAGATTAAAAGAGGAAAACCAGAATCCTCTCCAATCAGGATTCCAAAGAACTGAGCAGGATCCCAATGCTTGCTAAGCTACTGGGCTTATTTATTTTTTATTTATACTTTGCCTACTTCCAAAAAAGACTTGAGACAGCTTGTAATAAAAATCATAACGATATAAAGATACATGGATAGTTGAGAAAAAGAGATCCGAAACCAAACAGAGAAGGAGGGAGGAGGCTAGGATAGTCCCTAATATGTCTGCCCTTTAAGTCCATGAAATATCAAGATGGCACTTTACAGTTAGTTCCCTGAGCCTGATGACAACATAGGTTAAAAGTGAAATGGCTGTTATTTTAATTAATCAGTTGGGCAGTTTTCTTTAAAGATTTTATTCCCCAAAGAAGAGTTCCAAAACCATATACTAGGTTTGGTCCATTCTTAGAGAATGAGGCAGAATGAAGTTTTAAAAAGAAGATAAGTCATTTCAAATATAAGGAAGCAGTTAGAGTCCAGTACTCAGTTAGTACTCCAGTACTCCTAGTACCTCAGTACTAGGACAGAGAGGCTCTGAGGGAAGGAAGGCTGTGCCCCTGCGTGCTGGGCCGTGAAAGAGAAGATGTGGCCTGGAGAGGAACACCTGGGAGAGAGAACAGACTGCACCGTTCCCCAGGAAAGGAATTCCTCCTAATGGTGGTGTCTTTCTCCTCCTTGGCCCCTCACCCATCTGACCCACCCACCGCACCTGGTCCTGACATCTGGGACAGATCCACATGCCCTTGGGAATCGCCTTCAGAGGAGGGTCTAAGCAGTCCAGATGATACACACGGGAACATGTGTCGCACATCAGCAACTGGCCGCTTTTTCTGCAAACGCTGCAAAAATCCTCATGGATATCACCCTATAAAATTGAGAGGAAAGGTAAGAAAAAGGACAAAAAAGATAAAATTTTAATGTTAACATGCACATCCTGGATGCATATAAATGTTTTAGGAGCATCAGCTGCCACATTAGGAGAGCGTTCAAGAAAAGCAGGAATCACCAATGGCATAAGCCCCCACGCGCTCCATACAATTCAGGTTCCTGGGTGGGGACAGTACAGTAGTTCCCCCTTATCTGTGGGGGACATGTTTCAAGACCCCCAGTAGATGCCTGAAACCACAGATAGTACCAAACCCTATCTATGCTGTTTTTCACTATACATCATATCTATGATAAAGTTTAATTTATAAATTAGGCACAATAAGAGATTAGCAACAATAACTAATAAAACAAAACAATTAGTATACTGTAATAAAAAATTATGTGAATGTGATCTCTCTCACTTTCTCTCTCTTAATATTTTCAGACTGTGGTTGACCGTGGGTAACTGAAACCACGGAAAGCAAAAACTCAGAGGGGGAAATACTGTATTCTTAATTTAAGTTAGAGTTTACATGAAAGGTCTGTAGTCGCCTAGGCCAAAATTAACTTTATAGGTGATAGCGAAGCATTTATTATGTTTTGGTAGAGGCCAACCCACAAATAATTTTATAGGCACTGAAATCCATTCATCAAAGTGTTTTACAATATGACACAAACAATTCTGATTACCTATCACTTCTGGGGGGAGTTTAGAAGGAAAAGGAAAGAAGACAGACAAAAAAATGGAGTTTTACTGAACTCCTGGCTTGTTCAGTGAGAAAAAATACAGTGAAAGTTCAAATGGGAAAAAATTAAGTCAGAAGCAAATTAAACTCATCATCTGTCTAAAATGAAGACTCTGTCTAGTAGACCCCTTGGACCCTCTTGTGGGGAAAAAAAAAGATAAAATGAAGAATTTAAAAAGCCAAAGCAACGGCTGACAATGTTCTCCTGAAATGAGTACTCTGCATTTGCTGTTCAATGGACTATTCTATTCTGGGAGGCTGGATCCCTGTAAGATCCTTCACCGGCTGGAAGAAGGCAAGCAGCCCCCATCCACCCTGCCCGTCGCTCCCACCCGTCAGCGAGGGGATGAGCACTCAGGTAAGTCTGCCGGAGCCCTCTAAACAGAAGGCAGCATCCAAAAAAACAGTTCTACTTAAAATTTGGAGAGAACACAGAAAAATAAAGAGCTGTTAAAGAGCAAGTCAATCCCTGGCCTGTTCTCTGGATGGGATTAACGCCACTGATAAGGGCACCAGGGAAGAGAAGACTGAAGGGATGTGCCAGAGGTGACCCAGCAAGTCGAGCCAATGTGTTGCTTTAGATTTCAAGGTCTAATGCAGAAATTATGCACAGAGAGCAATGCCGAGTCCTTCCTGCCTATGATGTTATCCCTCTACCACTGCTACTGAAGGAACACATCTTCACAGACATATAATTTCTCTCCAAAGGAAAGGAAACTTTCTCGATAATTCACTAGGGTATTTGGGAGCCTATGAAATATGCTGCAAAAAGTTATAAGATACATCATGGTGTGGATGGATTTTAATCTCAGTAAGAAAATGTCACTTCTGGGCAGCAAAAAAGATACTCAATACACATACAAAAATATTACATGAGAATGCAGCCTAATAGTTTAACTTCCAAGCACCAAAAGAGGTAAGGTTTCATCCCTGGATTAACCATGACCTCATTATAAAATCCTTCATTATTAAAATCAGGCTGAGGGGTGCTCTTTTCCTCTGGAGGGTTAGTCTTTCTTGAACCTCAACCCCAAGTTTTAAGTCTCCATCTTTATGAAGTTTATAAAAAATTTGTGGTTTCAAAGACTGTTTTACACTAACCATAGATAAAATTATCAGTGGAGAAGTGAATGAGTCAAACTGGACATCTTATTCAGAGGGACTTGTTGTTGGAGTAAGTAGAATTTTGCTCACTTTCTTTTGCTCCTGAGTAAGGAGGACATCAAATATAAGGCAGAGAGTACAGAAAGTAAAGGTTAAATAATTTAAGTTTATAAAGGAAAGAAAACTTCCTATCCTATTTACATATCCTATATATCAGTAGTTCCTAATAGTTTTGGTGTTAGGATACCTTTACACTCTTAAAGTTACTAAGGACCCCAGAGAGCTTTTATATAAGTTGTATCTATTGATACTTACTATAGTAGAAGTTATAATACTTTTGACTTTGAAATAATTACAGAATCACAGAAAGTTACGAAAACAGTATATTGAAAAATCCTAAACCCAAGAACACACAGGCATACATTCCATTAGCTGTCAGAGGGATGATATTATCACACATCATACGATATCTGGAAAATTCCATTGTTCAGTCTTGAGAGAATGGGAGTGAAAATGGCAAATGACCTTTTAGCATTATTACGAAAATAATTCTGATTTTACAACCCCCTGAAAGAGTCTTGGGAACTCCCAGACTATACTTTGAGGACGGCTGCCCATAGAAATGAATATAAAATGCCAAGATTCTTCATCCATCCGGAATTGGTTATTTGCCTAAAGAGAGCAGGGGAAGTCCATGGAAGTACTGCACCTGGTCAAAAGGCTTATTAGGCTTTGGTGACTGACCAAATTATTACCATAAATCGCCAAATGGTAAGTTGAAAGATGACTGGCCCATGATTCTTTGCTAGGAGCTGAGGAAGTATCTTTTTAGGAAACATGCTGGCTATATCAAGTGCTACTTTATCACGTGCTAAAAAAATTCTATAATTTTGTCAACTTATCTTCCCTTCTTATAAAAACAATGAGTGGCAACAAGATACATCCTGAGGATTAGTGTCTGACTGGGTCTTGTATTACCAAGTCCTTCTAAATGGTTATTGATCCCCAGAAATGCCTGTCTCTCAACTGTTACTGTTTAATTAATGTTGCTGGGGGTATGCTACTCAGCAGCAAACATACAGAGCCCTGTGTGTTGATTTTAATCACTGCCACTGTTGGGATATTGTAAAAATAGAAGTCAATTACCTTTTTAAAAAAATACATTTCACTGAGTTTAACTTAGGACATTCTGAACATATTTAATGGTTTTAGAAAAGTTTTCTTTTACCTTTAGATTTCTAAAAAGCACAATATTTGCATTTTAAGATAAAGCCTGGAAGAAGCTCTTAGTTGTGGTTTAATCTGAGTGGATCTTTTGGGTTCAGTCTCTCAAAGAAAACTATAAACTCTCTCAACCAAAAACAAACAAACAAACAAAAATATTGTTTAAGAAAGTGACTCACACATAAAACAACAAAGTCATCTGTCCCCCTGCGTTTATGCAACATCCCAGAAGGACAGCTCTACCAAGAACCCAATAAGCTGGTGATCCTTTGGCAATTCTTCAACTGAGGAAAAGCTGGGATTATCTTTGGTGCCAGCAAACAAGGTTTCTGACAGGGACTCCTGATGCTCATTAACAGGACAGTTAGAAAACCTGTACCAATTACTAATGCAAAGTCAGGGAAGCTGGATAAAACACGGAATCTTTTTTTTTTTTTAATTTTTTTTTTGAGTCTCACTCTTTTGCCTGGGCTAGAGTGCCGTGGCATCAGCCTAGCTCACAGCAACCTCAAACTCCTGGGCTCAAGCAATCCTTCTGCCTCAGCGTCCCGAATAGCTGGGACTACAGGCATGCGCCACCATGCCCGGCTAATTTTTTTCTATGTATTTTTAGTTGTCCAATTAATTTCTTTCTATTTTAGTAGAGATGGGGGTCTCGCTCTTGCTCAGGCTGGTTTCGAACTCCTGAGCTCAAACAATCTACCCGCCTCGGCCTCCCAGAGAGCTAGGATTACAGGCGTGAGCCACCGCGCCCGGCCTAAACACGGAATCTTTAGAGCGATGATGAATATGTAGCCACCGCTATTTCTAAGGAAGGAAACCTGTCAGAGAACAGAATTCTTCTATGACCCTGGTCCTCCAAAGAAAACACTTTCTTTGTTGCAGCTGGAATTTTAACTCAGAATGTTCATATGGTATTCTTGTGCTCTTTGGAGAGTGGTATGTCATTAGTAAGTTCTGAGAACCTTCGAGGGACATTTTACCTCAAGATAGTCAAAGACAAGCTCTGTAATTCACAAAAGAACTTAGACATGTGCAAAATGAAACTGTTGGTTTCTCTCCTCAAATCTGTTCCTCTTGTAATCTTTAGAAAATGGCACTTCATCTTTCTAGGTGTTTAGGCCAAAAACTTTGGATTTATCCTTGACTGTTCTCTTTTTTGCATAAATCACATTCCATCCTGATGGCTCTTCAAAATATATGCAGACAGTCACTTTTCTCCATCTCTACTTCCACCATCCTCATAGGCCAAGCTATCAGCATCACTCTTGTCTGAACAATTACAACAGCCTTTTAGCTGGTTTCCCTGCTTCCATCCTATTCCACCTACAGTCCCTTCTCCATATTTTAGACACAGTGATCCTTTCGAAATCCAAGTTGATTTTGAAAATACCTTAAAAATGACAAATGCAGGCAAGAACTATCAAAGGATGCTAAACAATAGGGTGAATTTGTTGGGAAACTGGGTAATTTATATAGACTCAAAGCTATCTCCACCAGAGGAAAAGGCACATTTATAAGTAGGAAAATCTGACAGAAACTATCTTAAGAGATAGAGGTTAACATCGCTGACAGTGGGGCAAGACTGACATCATGTGCCTCCTGCTGTGAGGCACTGAGAAGGACTAATAAGTGATGAATGAGTTCAGAATACTGAATCTATTGTTGAGGGAAAAAAAATCAGTCCGAATGGAGAGGTACTCTGTAGAGCGACTGGCCTATCTTTTAAAAAATGTCAATGTTATGAAAGACAAAGGCTGAGAGGACTAAAGAGACAATACCATGACAATAAATGTCAACAGTAGTCTTGGAGTGCATTCTGGAGCAGAAAAAACAAAGTGTCACAAAAGCAAGTATCGGGACAATTGGAGAAATGTGAATATGGACTGTGTATTATATACTAATGTTTTATCAATGTTAATTTCCTCAATTTGATAAACGCATTGTGGCTATACAAGAGAATATCTTTGTTCTTAGGGGATATACACCGAAATATTTTGGGGTGAAGAGTCATGAGGTCTGCAACTTTTTGTTAACTGGTTCAGCAAAAATGTAAGACAGAGAGAGTGTGGGGGGAGAAGCAGATGTGGCAAAAACAACAATCGGTGAATCGAGGTGAAGGGTATACTTTGTACTGTTATTGTAACTTTTTTGTAGCTTTGAAATTTTTCAAGAGAACAAATGAAAAATTATGTCACTCCTCTACTCAAAACCCTCCAGTAGTCTCCCATTTTACTTAGAATAGAAGCCACAAGTCCTGCACAACCGGCCCTGCCACCTCTGGGGTCTCCCCTCCCACCACTCTGGACAGCTTGCTCTGCCCAGCTCCCCTGGCCTTTTCTTTCAACACGCCATGCACACTCCCACCTCTGGGCTTCTGCACTGCCATTCCCTCTGCGTGTAATGCTCTTCCCCAAGACACGCCCATGGTTTCTTCACTTCCTAACAGAGAGGCTTTCTCTCACCATTCTTCATAAAATAGCAGTCTCCTGCCACTGTGCTTATGTCCTCAATCTAGGCTACTTTTCTTCACCATACTTCTCACTACCTCACATATTACACGTTCGCTTTCTTACTACTTGCCTCTTCCCACGGAATATGAGCTCCTTGAGGGCAGAGAGTTGTTTTTGCTCCCTGCTGTGTCCCCAGCCTCAAAACAGCCACTTGCTCAGCAGAGGAGTGCTCAATAAGTATCTGCTGAGTTAATTCACTGCTTTGTAAATGCTGATTTAAACATTTAGAGCACTGGTTCACACTCCTGCAGTTTGTGGGTGAAGGGCTACTAACTATGTGACTTTTTTTTAGGAATTTGTTTCTTTTTTTTTTTTTTTTTTGAGACAGAGTCTCACTCTGTTGCCCAGGTTAGAGTGCTGTTTCTTTTTTTTAATTTTAAAAAATTTTTTTATTCTTTAGAGACAAGGTCTTACTTTTTCACCCAGGTTGATCTCAAACTCCTGGCCTCAAGCAATCCTCCCACCTTGGCTCCAAAGTGCTGGAATTACAGGCATGAGTTACCTTGCCTGGCCAGGAACCTGTTTCTGATCAACTCTGCTGAATAAAGTTGCTCTAAAGAAAACTTTCCACTTCTGGAATTATACTTGAAGCAGCAAACACGGGCTGCTAGGGGAACACATGACTTGTTCATTTTCCCTACTCCCAAAACATTAATGATAGAAACCTGTACACCTCTCAATTATATGAGATGCTTTCCCCATCCCATCCCTTTTCTGAGAAACCATTTACAGTAGATCAAATTCAGACTGTGAAAACTCTGACTGAGCTTCCTGATGTTATTTTTAACATGATTCTCAAGGACATGGAAGGTCTGGGACCTCAGAAGGGAGCTGCCACACATGGCATACAAAGCATCCTGTAGCGTTTACTGTTGTTCCAGGGTTAATCAAGAAGATGCAAGCTGATAAGGAGACAACAATATGATAACGCTTTTCCCAATTTGAGCTCTCGGAAAGAGAGTGAACTTTTCCCAAGTTACTTACGTCTGTGGAGGTGGGGCTGGGCAGGGACACAGGCTGAACAGGTGCAGGGAAAGTGAATGTGGTCTCTGTCTTTTCATTTTCAGGGGAGTCAGGATGACTGGATTGGGGGGATGTTGGGGTAAGGGCTCCAAACCCCAGCACTGCATTGTATTTTGGAGGACGACCTATATACCAAGAGAAGGGAACAAAAGGGAAAAAGGGGGAGGGAAAGAGAGGGGGAAAATGATCTTACATACCTTTGGCCAGTGTTCCTCATTGGCTAGCATGGAAAAGGAAGTGAGGTAGCAGACAGAAGGTTAATACAACAGTCCCAAAGGAAGGAAGAGAAGCAAAGACTTAAATGTCATTAGAAACAACTACACGAATCTCAAGAGAAGGGAGGATAAGAGAGCCTTGGAGAATGACAGAACTGCTGGCTCATGTAAAAAGACCTCACCTTGGGCAGATTATGGTGAAGTTCCTGGACTATTAAAATTTAAGATTTCTAGTGCAAGCACCAAGATGTCAAAGCCCAATAGGAGCCAAGGCCAGGAATAAGAATTTATTTTTTCATATCTTTTGCATATTGTCTCTAAGGTTTCTCTGCAATCACCATTCTTACAGTAAAACTGATGATTCTTACTTCCCACAAACTGATTTATTTAGGATTTCTGCTTTTCCTTTTCTTTCCTGTCTACATTTTGGTCATTTTGCTGCTTGTGAGGGTGGAGAGAGGCAAAGCAAGGAGGCAAAATTCACGTTAGCTATTCTTACTTCTTGCTGTTAGAGCTATCGAGAGAGACGTTCCGATAGTAGCTAAAACCTGAGAGCTAAAATGATGCCCTGGGCCTAACAATGAATTTAAGTACTTCTGGCTCTGGATACCTTCCCCAGTTGACTGAAAACTTGTCTCCCCTGTTTCCATTACAAACACTCTGGTGAACTGTATGTCTAAAAACTGGGGCTGTTCCAAAGTCTCAGGAAAGGCCCTGTCATCAGCACTACTAACTGAGAGCCTGATTTGTGCAAGATCATTTTGAATCAAACCTCACAGCTACAAAGAATCTATAAATGAGCCCTATGGGTATAGAAAGTCTAGGTCAACCACTCTTGTCTCACCACACAGCTAAGACTGGGTCCTTATCTTCTCCAGGATCATAGCTTACAAGCTGAGAGTGATCCGAAGTATATGCCCAGCATAGCAAAGGAAAAAAAAAGAGCCAAAGGGGTACAAAACTGCCTATAAGCACTGGTAGACAGTATATACGATCATGACTTTGCCAAGTTATAATTTATATTAGGATTATGCACACGACTCATGGTTCTTTCAGACATTACACAAACGTTACCTCTCTGTGTTAAACTGGCAATGTCTACGGTACAAAGACAGATCTTACTGGTTTGTCTTTTCTAGGAAATTTAGTGCTGCTAGAAGGGGAACTGGAAGATGAATGCTCTTTGTTTACCCACGGAAGGCACATCCTAGGCTTTGAGAATGTAGGCTTCTATCCTCTGACCTTGGCAAGAGATGCCAAGGTCTTTCTGGCTCATTTAACTCCCATCCTCTTAGCAGACACTGTTCACTATCAGGTAAATTAACTGTGGCCTCTGGCTGGGGGGCTCCTTTCTGAGAACTGCGTCAGAGGTCACTAAAAAAACTACTGAACATGAAACAAAACAACAAAAAATAACCTATGGCACTGGTTACTGTGGCCCAGGAATCAACATAAAGCAATGACTTAGAGTTTCCCATCTAAATATTTTTGGCAACTTGAATGACAAGACTGAGGAAACATTAAAATGAGTTACTAACGGTGGGTATGATATCTCTTTTAGTGGGTAGGGAAAGGTAATGGTATAGTTATAGTCCTGCCTAAGGCAGACAAAGGGTCGGGATGACCTCCTAAGCCTCCAATAGCTCGAGATTGTGTGTGCATATGCAAAAATTAGTATGCTACTCCACTCACTCTGCAACCTTTCTAGCCTGGAACTATAATTCAGGGACACATTACCATGTGGAGAAAAGGACCTTGGGATGTATTACTGACATCAAAGAACAATTTCAGTACCTTGTTTATGAGCTCAAACCCTGAGCCATTAAGACCTATTTAGACCTGCATAGTCAGAGATGCTGCAGCTGCTGCTGTTTTTTCTGTCCTAAGAGTAGAGTAGAATGCCCATGGGAAGGTCTGAAATGTGGGAATGGAGTGCTTTAGGAATTTGTGCTTTGGGAAACCTGTTTTGACAGTAACCTTTTTCTTACATAGTTGGGAGATACCCTCTTCTCAACGATTCTAAGTTCAGAGTGTGGCTACCTTTCTTCTTCCTGGAAAGTCTGCGGCTCCCAGAAACTTAGAGTCACACTCTGGTCTCACTGGCAGCAGGACAACCAAGACGCTATTAGGAACACCTTGGCAACAGCATTGCTCCGTTCTGCTTAATGATGCTCAAATGCTTCCTTTTACATGGTGTTCTGTTCACTGTGCTATTCATGGATGGCCTGGTGGGCTCAGGGCAGAAATGCTGCATTAAACCATTCCCCTGAGTCAGCCTTGCCAGAATCCTAGGAAAGTTAGCTTTTCATTCAGCATATAGAACTCTAACAAGAAATCTCACTCTCTTTTCTCCCCCATTCTCAGAGAACAACAAAAAAACTATTTTCAAGGGATAGAGGAGTTAGGTCCTAGGAAAATGGGAGTAGGGAGGGAGAAGAAACACACACAGAAAGCAAAAGTAACAGCAGCAAGGGAGAGGTATAAAAAGGTCCTCACCTCTCTTCCGGGTCCCAGGATGCATTGTGCTGTTTAGGTATGTGACTGCGCTCTTCTTACGCTTGAGGATTGAAGAAGGAAAGGTGACTGGTTGAATAGCATGGTTACTTACTACTAATACTGGCACAAGCTAAAGACCAAGCACAGCATGCCTGTCAACATGCCAGCCAGTTAGTGCTAATCATCCTAAGGTCTCAGTGCTAAAGCGTTTTATTATTATATATGTACTTGGCACTCAGAGAAGTCTACCTCTGCTTCAGAATGATAGTTGTGCTAGAGTCAGGATGGATTAAAATTTTAAAGTAGGTTTGTATCTGCCCAAACTTAGGGGAAAAAAGCCAAGGGCTAAGCAGTGAATAATAAAAACGAAATAATGTAGTAAGCCAGAGAAAAACCCATTGTTTTGCAGAGCTGGCCAAGCACAATCAGGGTCCTGCTCTTAAGCAGGCTTTCAGATGGGAGGTGCCAAACAAGTCAGAAATAAAATTGGAGCAGGAGGGAAGGGCCAAGTGCTGGCCAGGAATACCTCTGGCTCAAAGACTGCTCCACTGTATACTGGATTTGCTGTTGTTCTTCTTTTTCGCTCTTGCCTCTTGCTTTGGATTTCTTGAGAAAAGAAAAGGTTTTGATTAGAAGAGAGGTATGGAGAACCTAAAAAACGTAACTTCATTGTTTTATCTGTTGGTTTACCCATAACAAATCAGAAACAGGTGGCAAGTCTCTTTTAACTGCAGCCTCAACAGAGGCAAGTACACTATTAGAAGCAAATATGTAGGACCATCTACTCTTACCTCTCAGAAAGCAAGACCATGCTGTCCCACAATGTGACTGAGAGCTTAACAGTAGACAGCATTTGTAAACAAGCTGTCCTGATTTATTTTTAGACTGCTGTACATATAGGTCTGGATGAACTTTCTCCATAGACTTAGACTGAGTAACCGAAGTTCATCATTCTTGAACTAAATAACCAGGACAGGTACAGCTTTGCAACTGTTTTTAAGATTCTGTTAACCAGGAATGACTGAAAAATACAGACAAGGACTTACTGGAAGAGTACATGCTACTTTGTGCTGTCTGAAGAAAAAGAGCTGCCCTGAAGGGAACAGAAGTCACCTTAATTCAGGCAACTGGGAAGGTTTTCCCAGGTCGGTAGTGTGGATAATGATAGGAAGGGGAGGGCCTGAACATCAGATAGAGGGAAGGCAATTTTTCCTCTAAAGGAAATAAAGTTCACATTCGTTGAATCATACTCTATTTGTGTTCCAATTTTCTATTCTAGGAATTCAATCAAACACCATTTTCAAGAACAAAGCTGTGGGCCAGAAAAAAGGCAATGCCAAGAATATCTTCTCTTACCTTCTAGATGGTCATGTGTTACCAACCCTAGAGACACCATGAAGGCAAGTTTCTGTGCCAGAGAAACAAAAGAAGAATATAGTTCAGTCTGGGTTCTCACAAAGCTAATAGCAGATTCCTAGTTAGACACAAGGGAAAGTCAGCCCAATGGGCTGGTTGCCTGAAGGAGGCTGATTCAGATGAACTAAAAGCAGGCATCCTCCACTCTCAAGTAGCTATGGAGACGCTCTAGTAGCTTTCTGGTCTAATAGGCCCAAAAGAGAAGGACTGGGGCCTACATTTTTCTACTTTCTCAATGACAGAAATCAGTATCTTGAGTGACCTGAGGTTTTTTTTTTTCCTTCGAAAAATCCTCTCAAAGGGAAGTGGATTTGATACTTGAAAAATGTGCAGAGGATTTTAAAGAGCCTCCCATATAAGAAGCTCCAAATTCCAAGTGCTTCACTTGTAATGACTAGGTCAAGGTTTCTCACATTTTTACTGCCACTGATTGGACAATGTTAAATCAAAGCTAAATGATTTTTAGGAATGACAGCAGGTGATTCTGTGTAATACTATGATTTTTCAATCAAACATGGACCTAAAAATTATGGAGCAATTTCTCTCTGAAGATCACTCTTAGGGCTCCCTAAGAAGCTAAGTTGACTAGAATACTGCACCCCAAAGCTGAAATGTTAAGATACATCAAGCTGGAGAGAGCATCAGATTGATTTCTATTCTTCTCTCTGGTTGCATGTAGTCTGAAAAGTATGTCTTCATTTTCTGTTGTACCACTGCATGTGGTTTCTGAATATGCCAAATAATACATCAGTTTCTTTCTCTGATGAATAAAGAACATCATCAATTTTTAAAAGACATACTCCTGTAGAGTTATTTATACCACAGTTTGGTCTTTAAAAATCATGACATCTTATCCTTGACATTAAGTATCATGATACTTTGGCCTGAAGTGACAGGTTCAACCTACTGAACATACATTCCTTGAGTAAGCCACTTGAGCACATAGAAATGTCCTTTACGGGTATCTTCAGTCTTCAAGAAATGTTTTTATTTCTTGTTTCAAAAACTTAGGTAGGCACCTATCCCCATTGACAGCCGGAGTAATCCAGCAAGAAAAAGCAGTCTTGGACTCACCCATTTTCTACACTGTACACTGAAACAGCATGTATTTTGTGGTTGCCAACTGACTACGTTACTAACTTTTACTAGCCCTTCAAAATATAATCTAGATTAGAAGGTTCTCCACCAACCGTTCTGTTAACAAAGCAGTGTGTGGACGGACATTCAGATGCACTCTCTTTTAAGTAAGTAACAGCACCCTAGTTGGCCATTCACATCCAACTCATCTTTGCCAGTCTAGATCAAGCTACAAACTAATTATTAGATGAGAAAATCTCCACCCTTGTGGAATAGATTTTCAATGATAGAATAAAAAGTTCTTAAGAACTTTTGCCTCATATATTGATCCCACGTATGCCAACAGCTAATTTATTCTCTTTATGGCAGTGATCTATCCAACTAGAAGGTGAACTATTTGCTACTGCACATTAGCATTTGCTTGCCCACACTGTGTGCCACTGACATAGGATATCCTTCAGTTTCTTCTGACAAGGAAACTTTACCCATAGTTTACTATTTTTCCTCCTTCAAGTATAATACTTGTCATCAATTTTGCAGATGATTTTACAAGTTTCTCAGTAATGTGTGTGACTAGTACTCCCTGTTGGTTACAGTTGTGGTCCCTTCTTTGAAGATAAAATTAAAAATTAATTCATTTCATATCAGAATGAATTCGATTTCATACTTATTTTAGAAAAACCTGAGTTGACTCAATAAATCACTGCTTTAAGAAAAAGACATGAAGCTTTGATGGCTTTATGTCACTATTTGACATGGTTTCATTATAAAGAATGCACTGAACGGCCGGGCGCGGTGGCTCACGCCTGTAATCCTAGCAATCTGGGAGGCTGAGGCGGGTGGATTGTTTGAGCTCAGGAGTTTGAGACCAGCCTGAGCAAGAGCGGGACCCCGTCTCTACTAAAAATAGAAAGAAATTAATCGGACAACTAAAAATATATAGAAAAAATTAGCCGGGCATGGTGGCACATGTCTGTAGTCCCAGCTACTCGGGAGGCTGAGGCAGAAGGATCGCTTGAGCCCAGGAGTTTGAGGTTGTTTTGAGCTAGGCTAACGCCACGGCACTCTAGCCTGGGCAAAAGAGTGAGACTCTGTCTCAAAAAAAAAAAAAAAAAAAAAAAAAAAAATCACTGAAGATAAAGGGAAATGGATTCCTAATGAAATGTAACTATCAGATATTCATCGTCATATTACCTGTCCACGTTTTTCTTCTATAGCTGCATATACGAAAGCATCCAACTAAAAAAATTTTCTTGTCTAAGGACATACATATTCACACTCTTGTACTGGGGTCTTGTTTGCTAATTATGTTTATAATTCTATCTTAAGTTGTAGTATAGATGTTATGATTTTCATCCCTCTATTACACTTCAACGAACTACTTTTGAGCTACTGATTCATTTGGGATTTGGGATTCTAATGCAGTATAATGGCAGTAACAAAATGTACATTTAACAACTGTAGTCGATAATATAAATAGATATTAGCTGAGTGAATTGGATATCTTGTAAGTGTTGGCCAAGACAAACAGAACATAATAATGATTAGGAATGTAATCAGATAGCTGGGAAAATTATCATTAATTTTACATTTCAAATTTTAACAAGTATATCAACAATATCATTTTAAAACTTCTCCTTTGAAATAATCAATATGCTTATATGCCAGTGCATATTAGCAGAGTGTGGACCCTTAGGACCACACTCTAATAAATATTCCCTAGGCCAACCTAGCTCGGCAATAACATGGTTGAATAATGAGAAAGCATGAGAAAAGGAATGATCGAGCGACTCAGAGAGCAGGTGTCCCTCCTGGTGTGTGAAAATAAACCACACATCATAGACTGAGCCTTTCCTTTGCATAGATGGGCCTACCTGAGGGTTCTCTTCCCGTTTTGGTTTAGGTGCAGCAGGTGGGGTGATGGTACGGCTCTCTGTTTGTTTCTCATCTGTTTCTGTGTGAGATTTAACTGTCTAGGAGAGAAAAATTTCAATAAAAATTCAGAATTCATTTTTTAATTAAAAGAATGAAAACAACCAGCAGTTTCAACAGTAGCCAAGAATAAAGAAAAGAACATATTCAAATTTGAAAATATTAATAAAGGAGTTAATATGATGGATTTCACTGGGAGAGGGAGGGAAATAAATTGTGAAGCCCCAGTTGAAATGAAATTGCATAACTAGAGTAAATATGAATCTATAAATAGTCTAAATAATACGAAAAGAAAAACCCATAGTTTAATTCCTATGTATAGAAATGAAGTACATGCTGCTCTCTCTGATTTCAATGTATTTTAGGATGTGGGGGTAGTTTCCCAGAAGCAGGCCCACTGTTGTTATATATAGGTCAAGCTCTAGTCCACAGCATGCTCAAGATCAGAATGATGTCAAAAACATCTTACGTACATCCTCTTTTATTTCGGGATAATTCTAATCATAATCTAAGAGAGATTGCTGAATAACCCTTTCCTGGAATATTTAAAACCTGCCTATATCATCCATTAGAGGAGAGGTGAAATCGCCAAGAACCACCATCTTTCAATAGGCTGCCATCCTAATTACTCCCAAACTCTTCTTCCAGAAGCATCCACTCAAGCAGAAGAAACACCTGTTGCATTACTATCTTCAAACACAAACAGCAGCTAGCATATTGGCAGATCAGGCTTGCTTTACTACTCTTACCATGACCTAATGGCTAATTCATTTTATGAAGCCCTCTGTAAATACTGAAATGATTTTAGAACAGTGAATATAAAACTGTAAACACAAACCTAATTTGCTTTTTCAAAATTAAAAAAAAATGTGGATATAATGGTCTTTTTGTATGGCAACAAGTAATAAAATAAGTGAGAATAAAACTGGTTAGTGATGAGCAGGAGTTTAGTGAAAGACTTTAGTCCTACAAACAGGACATTAAAAGTTTTTCACTTTCTTTCCTGGCTACTTCCATATTTTTCTTTGGCTTTCTTTTTTTCTTTTCCTGGTTCATGAAATTTTTTTTGTTTGTCTTGTTTTTTAATTTTTTTAATTGAAAAATAATAATTATATATATTCCTGCGGTACATAGTGATGTTTTGATACATACGATATATGGTGATCAGATAGGGATAAGTAGCACATACATCCTCTCAAACAGTTATCATTTCTTTGTGCTGGGCACATTCAATATCCTCCTTCTAACTATTTCAAATGATATATATAAATTTTTTATCTTTTTTTAAAATTCAGGATATTATGGGGGTACAAACATTTTGGTTACATGAAATGCATTTGTCTCACTCAAGCCAGGGCTACAAGCATGTCCATCCCCCATACAGTGTGCCCTGTTTCCATTAGCTGTGGGTTTACCTTCCCACTCTTCCTTTGGTTTTTTATATTATCACATAAGGGAAGTGCAAGCTGCCTTATCAGTACTGTGGCAACCACTACTGAGGCAAATGCTGTCTCCCCTCACCCCCACTGACTGGTATCCTCTTATTTTCCCCTTTATACTAAAAGCTACTTGAGAGTGGGGTTTGTTTCATACACCCCTTTGTACCTAGTATAGTGCCTCATGCTGAGCAGGTATACAGCAAAGAGCTGATGATCTTCTGAGTGACGACCATGATGAGGAAGAATCACTCAAGTCACTCTCTCTCTCTGTCACACACACACAAACAGTTTTTATCCAAAAAGGACACATTTCCTTTATAAAACAAACCAGCAATGGGAAAGTAGTTTATAGTGACATTTAAAAGGTCCTGGATGGCCAGCAAGCTTATTTTCATGGTTCTTTGAATGTAGAAGGACAGAGGTATGAAGGAGGAGGGGGAAGATAAGGCCAACCATAAGGGTGTGCTGCTTCAGTCCCAGGCTGCGTGAAGCTCCTTGGAGCCTCTTACTTCCACTTCTAAGGCTGAGTAAAGCACTTAGTGGCAATGTCTCTGGGGAAGGGCAAATCAATTCCTCTCTGCTAAAGAATTACTCACGGTTCAAATTTTTCTCTCTCACGTAAGGAGAGTACAATTATCTTAGTGTTAGATAAAGAATACCAAAAAGTATCCAAAAAATAAAAATAAAACAATCAAAATATTAGAGGGTGTCTTTCTCTCATGGGTCCCTTGCTCTGGGGGAAGCCAGCTACATGTTGCAAGCAGCTCTATGGACAGGCCCAGGTGGTGAGGAACCAAGCCTGCAGCCCACCGCCAGTGGAGACGTGAGGCCTGCCAACGACCATGTGCCCAAGCCTGGAAGTGGAGTATCTAGCTCTAGTTGAGTCTTGACAAACCCTGGCCAAAGAGTTTGACTGCAAACTTGTGAGAGACCTTTAACCAGAACCACCCAGCTAAGCTGCAGACAGACCAGAAAGCAGTGCAATGATGTATTTAAGGTGATGAGAGAAAAAAAACCAAAACTATCAACCAAGAATTCTATATCCTACAAAACTATTCCTCAAAAATGGAAAAATTAAGATGTTCCCAAATAAACAAAAGTGGAGGATATTCACTGCTAGTATATGTGCTCTAAAGAGAGTTCTTCAGGTTGAAATGAAAAGACACTAGACAGGAACTTGAAGCCATATGAAGAAATAAGAACTCCAGTAAATATGTACCTTTACATATTTAACTATATGGGTAAATATAAAAGCCAGTACTATTGTATTTTTTATTTTTAACTTCTCTTGTTTGTTTCCTATATGGCTTAAAAGATAAACACACAAAACAGTAATTACAAATCTACATTAGTGGGCACACAATGCATAAATACATAATTTGTGACGATAACAACATAATGGGGGGCAGAGTTATATACGAGCAGGATTTTTATATATCATTGAATATAAGCTGTGATTAATTCAAACTAGATTGTTAAAAATTTATGAATGTTAACTGTAATTCCCATGGTAACAACTAAGAAAATAATTATATACAGAAAATGAAATGAGGAACGCATGAAAATGGTACAATAGAAAAAAAAAAACAAACACAAAAGAAGGCAATATTGGAGGAACTGAAGAGCAAAAAGATGTAAGGTATGTATAACATATGTAGAAAACAAATAGCAAAATGGCATAAATCCTTCCTTATTAGTAATCACTTTAAATGTAACCAGATTAAACTCAACAATTAAAAGACAGAAAGTAGCAGAATGGACAAAATACATGAGCCAAATATATGCTGTCTGTAAGAGACTCATTTTAGAGCAAAAGTCATAAAAGGTTGAAAGTGAAAGCATGAAAAAAGATATTTCATACAAACAGCGACCGAAGAGTGCAGGGATGGCTACACTACCATCAGGCAGAAGTGACTTAAAGTCAACATGTCTTACAAGAAATAAAGAAGGTCATTACAGACTGACAAAGGGGTCAATTCAGAAAGAAGATATAATAGTTACAAACATATACACACCAAACAACAGAGCCTCAAAATATATGAAGCAAATACTGACAGAATTGAGGAGAGAAATAAAGAGTTTTACAGCAATAGTTGGAAATTTCAATGCCCCACTTTAAACAATGGACAAACCTTATAGACAGAAGATTAACAGAGATGTAGGGGATTTGAACATTACAAACCAACTAGACCTATCAGCCATATAAAGAACACTGCGTTCAACAATAGCAGCATACATAATTCTTATCAAGTACACGTGAAACATTCTCCAGGCTAGACCATATGTTAGGCCACAAAATGAATCATAATGAATTTACAAAGACTGGAATCATCATGTATCTTCTCTGACCACAATGGAAAGAAGTTACAAATCAATAACAGAAGGAATATTGGAAAATTCACAAGTATGTGGAAATTAAATAACACACTTTTAACCAACCAATGGGTTGAAGAAGAAATCACTAGAGAAATGAGAAAATGCTTTGAGAGAAATGAAAATAACAACACAACATACCAAAGCTTAAGTAATCCCATGAAAGTAGTGCGCAGAGGGAAATTTATAGTTAAGAGTCTATATTAAAAAAGAAGATTTCAAATCAATAACCTAACTATACTTTAAGAAACAGAAAAAGAACTAAATCCAAAGTTAGCAGAAGGAAGAAAATAATAAAGAAAAGGGTAGAGAGAGAAATGATATAGAGAAGAACAGAATCAACTAAAAGTTGATTCTTTGAAAAGATCAACAAAATTAACAAACCTTTGGTTTAGACTGACTAAGAAAGAGAGAGAGGATATAAATAAAAAAAGTCAACAATGAAAGTGGCACATCACTACCAATCTTACAGAAATAAAAAGGATTATAAGAAAATACTCTGAACAACTATACGCCAACAAACTAGATAACACGGGCAAAATGGACAAATTCCTAGAAACACACACATTACTAAAACTGACTCAAGAAGAAATAGAAGGCCAGGCACGGTGGCTCACGCCTGTAATCCTAGCACTCTGAGAGGCCGAGGTGGGTGGATAGCTCAAAGTCAGGAGTTTGAGACCAGCCTGAGCAAGGGCGAGACCCTGGTCTCCACTAAAAATGGAAAGAAATTATCTGGACAACTAAAAATATACACAGAGAAAAAATTAGCCGGGCATGGTCGTGCATGCCTGCAGTCCCAGCTACCTGGGAGCCTGAGGCAGGAGGATCGCTTGAGCCCAGGAATTTGAAGTTGCTGTGAGCTAGGCTGAAGCCACAGCACTCTAGCCCAGGCAACAGAGTGAGACTCTGTCTCAAAAAAAAAAAAAAAAGAAGAAATAGAAAATCTCAACAGATCTATAACTGAAGAGATTGAAACAGCAATAAAAATCTTCTACAAAAAGAGAAACTATAGGACCAGATGACTTTATTAGTGAATTCTACCAAACATTTAAAGAATTAGCACCAATCCTTCTCAAACTCTTCCAAAAATTAGAATCCTAACTCATTCTATGAGGCCAGCATTACTCTGAGACCAAAGCCTTAGACACCACAAGAACAGAAAATCACAGAATATCCCTTATGAATATAGATGCAAAAATGCTCAACAAAATACCAACAAACCAAAT